GGATCGGGAATTACACCTCATCCTGTGTATAATTGATGATATATATCCCATAAGTCATTTTCAATTAATCTCATTCTTGAATAATGATTCCAACCTAATTTTCGCCCCCACTAGTTTTTTCTTTCTTTTAATTCATGCTCAAAATCATGTGGTTAATTATCATACAAACAAAACCCGAAGAATTCGAGTCTCGTTATGCGATCCATAATCCATCTACGATTACGTAAAATCAAGGAAAAAAGATCATATTCTATTTCGTCCTTAAACCCATGATACTTAAATTCTAAACACGGGTACATTGATTTGATGATGATATTCACTCAAGATTTTCTCGTTCATGTCGATTCTTTTATTGTACACTCAATAAAATTCGTAGAGTAAATTTTATTACACGTGTTTTGTATTTCATTCGGTGTAGCATGTACAATATGTCTGATACCCCGGTCCCCCACCAATTTAATTTAATTCATATATATAATAAATATCGGTTTGATCAAATAAAATTCCAACTTTATTAATTTATTTCAAGAAGCAAAATAAATAAATATCGGCCCCGTATCTTCAATTTCCGGCTCCACCGTGTTCGGAAGCGATGAGAAGATCGATGATTACCGTCGGCCCCCGGAGGCTTGAAAAGAAAAAAACACAGGCGCAGATGTAGGGAAAAATGTGTCTGCAGGAGTATGTATATATATAAATAGTGTTGATGTATTAATATTGATTAATTTAAAAGAGGAGAGAGAAAGAAGAGAGAGAGAGAGAGGGAGGCAGTGGAGGAGTTGTGTTTTGGAAGGATGCTCTTAAATAAGAGCACATGGGAACAAGGCTGTCTATTTTATTGCACCTTTATGCTGTGTTAGCGGGGGGATGTGCCTTGGTTGTCCCAAACCATGGGTGCCCCATGCTAGGGCACTTCTCTTAATCTTGTCTTAATATTTCCAAAACATCTTGGGGCCATTTGCACCCCCCACCCCCCCACCCCCACCCCCACCCCCTCTCTATATATATTCTATTCCATACAATGACCACCTCATCTAACAGCTTAACATACCGAACATTTAATCTGTTTACAAGTGTGTGTGTGTGTGTGTGTGTTTTGAAAGTTAGTAAATGTGATGAGATAAATGTTATTTCAGTTTTATTGATGTTGATTCAATTTTAAAGATGTTGTTTCGACTTTGAACGTGGTCTTGACTATTATTCTCTAGTTTGGAATTGGCTGAATTCAAAAGCATATACATAAAATTTTGTAGTTTTTCGAGTTCAGCTTTCTCGCTAATCCAACCGAAATCAGTAGAATGAGATGTCGGAAGAGAAAGATATACATAAATCTATGAACAGTACTAGTTTTGCACACAACTTTGATGTCTTGGTGAGTTATCTAAAATTGAATACGTAACTCGTTCGTGTATAACTCTTTGTTACACGAAATCTAGCATAGCTGATTGAATTGAAATTGTATTAGAAAAATAACTCAAATGACTACAGTTTTAGAGTTTTAAATATATGTGTGAACAAAATTAAACATTTACGTATTCAGGTGAAATTCAACAGGTGTAGCATAGAACGGTGAGGGTGGAGACATAGGCTTGTGCATTTGGGGTTGGGGTTTTTATTTTTTTTCTAGACTTTTGGTTGTGTCTCCTTTCCAAGAAGATAGAACAGTGTTAGAGATACTGGATATCGATTGATTTGCCCTTTTTTGTGAAAATATAATAAATCTAATAATCTGTCTCTTGTCTTTGTTACATGTATTTTATTAAATTCAAATTAAAACTAAAAAAAAAAAGTTAATGTATTTTATGTAGGCAAGGAATTTTGAATTTATATTCATACACAAATACTTTTTGTTAGGTTCTTCGCTTTGATATTTGTCATCATTTCTATGCTTCCAAGTTTTAATTAACTCTGTCTGCGACTACTTACCACGACTAATATTTTCTATATCTTTTTAATGATTTTTAAATATTTAAAATTTAAATAGGAAAGAATCCTCTAAATAATTGAAATATAAATGTCTAAAGTACCCCCGCCCTCTAATTCTCTCACCATTAATTATTTGTTTATTCGCGAAAATAAATTTTCAAAAATTATTTATTTATTTATTTGAATAATAAAAACACTGAAAAACATAAATTAAATAAAAATTCCAAAACGTCGGTTAATTTAAAACGGAAGGAGTATCGTACTCTACACACGACACGACACAAAACCAACACAATTATAAGGACGAGTCTTTGGTTGAGCGATCCCTATCTATGTAGGTTATTATTCACCTCCAATATTTTTAATTTCCTACATATCTCCAATTTCACAAAAAAAAAAATTTAAATAAATAAATTTTAGAAAAATTCAGAACACTAAATTCATGCAACAATAAGTACACCCATCTAAAGAGTTTGTCTGCTAAGGGACCCTTTCGATGCGTCTGTGCCATGTGCTTTTTTATTTATTTATTATTTTATTTATTTAATTTATTAAGCATGTAAATTGCTTGATTGTCCTCTTTGCCAGTTGCCTGTGTAATAAAACTGACCAATCCGTTACATTTGTCTAATTTCTTATTATTACTATTTTATTTATATTTAGTAATATATTTAATTATATTTAATAAAAAAAATATTAAAATGTGCCCTCCAGCCTGAATATATAGTTAACGGCCGCCACGCAAGTTTTATTTAATAACGAAGTCAACTTGACAACTCTTTGGCTTGTAAAATTAAATACAATTTTATTTTTTATTTTTTTAAAATAATTTTAAAATGTCTATTTTGTTACCTGTTGCATTAATAGTTCGTACGTAAAATCACTATCAAGAATTGAAGTATGTGATAACCAACTACTTATGTTGGAACATCTCAAATATTAGATTGTGAGACTATAGTTAAATCTTTTCACAAATTTATATATGGTTGATATTAACCGACTAACTTTTCGTATGTATATTTTACGTATGGATTTGTAGTTTCGTCGAAAAGATGTTTTCATTTAGTATATTTTCGTACGCCTACGAATACGTGATTTGATTTATCGAGCAATTTGTAACACATAATGCATAATATCGAGAGTTCAAATTCTCTAGATCTAGTGTAGGAGTACTTTCAAGATTCTTCTTTTTTCCCCTTTCGTATATTTAAAAATTGGAATTAGAAAAAAAAAATTATTATTGGGTTCACCCAAGATTTTTCACAAGAAATAAAAAATTCAGAACTTCATAAATCGGAATAAAAGTTAAAAAGTAGTATGCAGTCATAATAATTTTCATCGAAATCGACCGAACTCAGTAAAACAAGGATTTAACGTAGACATATATCATACATAACATCATCGGTCGCGAAACTTAAAAATAGAATTTTAGAAATTAGAGTTAAAAAAAATTAGATCTTAATAAATATAAATTTTTTAAATAAAAATAAAAACCAATAATCTTTATATTCACGAGATGTACATAAACAAAGATATACATATCGATTGCTGACACATATACGAACAAAAAATTGCAGTTATTTTTGCGTCCTGTGTTTATTACAACGATTTTTATTTTTATTTTTTATTTTCTTGTTTGTGTGTATCTGTATGTATATATAAATTTCTCCAAATTATGTCATGGACTAACTTTGTGTGGCAGCCACGTCACCCCATCGTTCTTTACACCATCATCATCTTTCTAATTTTATTTTTATTTAATTTTACAAACAACAACTTGCTAATATTGGTTTGATGATGTCAGAGAAAAATTAAATTGCCCCTGTACTTTTTTTTCTTTTTAATATTTAAAAAAAAAAATTAAAAAGAAAAAAAAAGAAGGATCAATCAATCATGATTATCTTTTTGCAGTGCAATCATCCACATATTGCCAATTACCCTGCAACTGAAATTCAGTTCTTTTTCCAACATTACAGAATCTAACAATATTTTTCCAATTATTATTTATATATATAAAATATATATGTATATATGAAAAAAATCATAATAAAATAATTTCCTAAAAAAGTTATTATACTGTAGTTTTTTGGCCTATTATACCCAATCATGAAAAAAATTGGCCTCTTTTGCCCACAAAAACCATGTGTATATATGTATATATAATTTCAATTTATAAATTTTATATTTATTGAAATATACTGTATAATTTTATATAATCGTCATCGATGTACACATAATTACATATAAATATATATTGTGGATTTGTGTAAAATTGGATGATTAACAATACACGCATACAATGAGATTACACTCGGTGAAGTTAGTTAATCAAACTTGGATCAAATAAACCATGTATAAAAATGTAGGGGCAATTTAGTCAATCTACAAGTTACTGATACTGAACTGAAACTA